CCTGGATTTTATTTTATTTTATTTTATTTTATTTTATTTTATTTTATTTTTTTGGGAGGGGGGATGTCTCAATCTTGTCTGATAGGCTTCTCATTCATCAGTCTTGGGCTGTCTTTGCTGGATTTTTTTAATTTCAAGGTGAGTCAAACATTATAACTGGTGAGAGGTCTGGATTTAAGACGGAACAGGTCAGCACTCAGGCTCTTTTACTGTGAAGCCATATGCTCTAATCGATGCAATGGGGTTTAGCATCGTCATGCTGAAATAATAGACCCTCATGTAAGAGGTTGTCTAGATGAGTGCATATATGATGCAGTATCAGAAATTCAATGGAGGAAGATCTCCTTCCACGGTTCCCAGGTGAAGCTGTGATGTGAGGATGAAAGACTCTTGCAAGCTTGTTAATTTGAACAGTGTAAGTTTATTCAGAAAAACAGAGCCTAAAATGATTGAGTTTCTCATGGCCAATTGGAAGAGAGACTGACGAAACTTCGTCTAGTTTTTATAAACATGGCCACACCCAGATGGAACATACATTTCAAAAACATTAAGTTCTACACAAAAACACATTCCTAAAGGCCTCTTCTCTTCTTGCTATTGTATTGAGACTGCTGTGCTTCGCCACTGGAACAAACAGACACATGATTCCACTTGAGTTTTTGAGCTGGCATTACAGGTTGGTACCAAGCACCCCAGACACCACACTGATGTAAAACTAGGGCTGCACAGTATGTATGTGGAAGATGGTAGAAACAGTATGAAGTTGGCCTATGGTAGAAATTTATCCTCTACCATCCTATCGTCATTGCACCTGTGTGAACAGGGCTGCGAGTGCAGAGACAACTGAAGGAGGAGGAGTTTAAAATATTCTGAAAAGAAATGAAGAAATATGGTGTTTTAAAACATGTATAGAGAGAATAAATCCTCAGTTCCCCCCTCCCGCTGTAGAAAAGTTACGTCGTGTCGCGGGATCATTTCCTCCCTCCTTCCTGCTGCACGTCGTACAGAGCGAAGCTTTAACAACTGTAGTTTTTTCACACCCAAGTTGTCGAAGAAAAACCTTGTTTTTATGTATTGTTACCCACAGAGATTATTTAAAAAAAGATGTGGACGTTCGTTCAGTCATAAATCCATCTTGCTAATGTTACAGTTCTGCTCTGAGAGCAGCAGCCAATAAGTTCAACGGACAGAAGCTCTTTGTATGGCAGGCAGATTTTATATTTATTTGACTTCACCACACTTACATTCCAGTTATATGAAATTGTTTTATGACAGGACTATGTGCAGCTTAAGCCCCTTAAGGTCCTGTCACACTGTAACATTTTAGGCAAGACTGAATTTTTTTTTATGTCTAAATGACTAATTTTACTTGAAGTACTGATTATAACATCCACTTTATTTTGATATTGTTGAAAATTTGAGAAATGGTTTTGTTATATATATATATAT